CTTGACGCTCACTTTGTTTAAAATGTCATTTTTTAAGCCGCAGATTTTAGTTAAAAATAAATAAATAAACATGAATTTCATTTTTTGCACACTCGGATSAAGATTAAAACTGTTGATTAACATCAGGATTGTGTGCATTTGTGCACTGGATAGTGTTTGAATAATGAAACAAAATTGCAGCTTGATTTAAAGATGATTTAGGTCAAATATGAGCAGATATCTAATAGGTTTGTTATTAAAAAAAACACATTAATTGCCAGAAAACAAATCATTCGTTTGTTGACCTAATTTTACATAAAACATAAAAAAAACTGAACTGCGATTTTTTTGTTTGTTTGTTTGTTTTAGACAATTTAACCATCAAATAAACCAACATTGGTGCGTTTCTGTGGGTTAAATGTCCTCAAAATGTCCAAATAGACGACTTAGATATGTTGAGGTTCTCCATTAAACTGTTTTAACACTTCCCCCCTCAAATACAAAATGACAAGTGTAATTCTAATAAGAAAACATTTCACTTGTACAACGTTTTGCTATGAGAAAACACGAAATAAAGCCAACAATTCACCGCGAACCTGAAGATTTGCAGTGCCGGGGGAAATAAATAAATAAGGTTGCTGGTGAGATTTGAGGACACACTGATCAGCAGGTTTGAGGTTTCCTGAAACAATAACGTGTTTGCGTGCAGCTGAAAAAACCATAAGCGGGATTTTGAAGGTCAAACACACCGTTTTGACCATCATGGCACAAAGAAGCAGCTTTTGAACATCTGAAAACAGATTAAACATCAGGAGCGTGTGAAACAAAAAACAGTCCTTAGAAATGGACATAATATTAACCAAAAATCTCATAGTTTGTGAATCTATCCGACAAGTGGACATAAGGAGGAGCCACACAGATAAGTTTATTTATTTCTTTTCTGTCCGTTTTTGATTCCTGACTTTAGTTTACTTTAATCATATGTTACAATGGGATAAAAATAGTTGAAGTTATTGGGGGGAAAATCTGTTTTAAATACATTTTTTGCTTCACTTCAACTTTGAGAAACAAATAAAGGTTGTAATAAAC